AGCCAAAATCAAGAGTCAGACAGTTAACCGACTGAGCCATCCAGGCAGGCACCCCACCATATTTACCTTTAAATAAAGGTTTGGACCTTAAGATATAATACTTCTTAACCTGTTTCATAATATGATAGATGTGGAAATGTTTGGATGGGGCACAGAAGCAACTGAGGAGGCTGCTCAGACCCTGCCCATCCCAGGGCTGAGGAAATTTGTATCTCTGCACTGTAATCTATTGACCTAACATTTGGAAGTTCTGCCTTAAGGATAGATAGACTTAGGCAGTGTGTGAACACTCCGAATGCTTTATTTTTTGTGTTTGTATATATTTTTCTTAAGAAAGAGTTATAACTTTCATTAGATTCTCAAAGGGGTCTATGAACCCAGAAAGGTTAAGAATTAATGCTTTAAATTGTGGAACTAAAGCCAAATGAATGGCATAACTTATTGTTTGCTTTTAGTGTGAATTTTTTCCTTTTGATTACAAAGTTATGCATATGTTTGTTATACAAAATTCAAAATTATAGGTAGAGTTAATGTAGAAACTAAAGTATGCTATATCATATTCCTGGTTAATTTCTACCAATTTGGTATACATGTATTTGGTATAAATATTTTTTTCTTACATATATTAACATTTTCCTTCCTATTCTTTCTCCAAAATTTTACTTACAAAGATAGTACTATATATACTATTATGTGTTTTCTCACTTAATTTATCTTAGATATGATTCTGCTTCAGTACTTGTTGATCTACCTCATTCTTCTTAACAAAGTATTTTATGTATCTACCATATTTTGGTTAACCTTTATTACTGAACACATGAGCTGTTTCTAGCTTTTGCATTGTAAACTGTGCCATAATGAACATTTCTGTAGATGCAGTCTTGAAAATTTAGGAGCAATTCTGTATAATTCCTAGAAATAGTGGGGTGTGAACACTTATTAAAGTTTTTTAAATTAAGTTTTAATTTTAATTCCAGAATAGTTAACGTGTGGTGGTATAATAGTTTCAGGTGTACAATGTAGTGATTCAACACTTCCATGTAACAGCCGGTGCTCATCACAAGGAGTATACTCTTTAATCCTCATCCTCTATTTCACTGATCCCTGCAGCCGCCTCCCCTCTGGTAGCCATCAGTGTGTTCTCCATTGTTAAGAGTCTTTTCTTGGTTTGTCTCTCTTTTTCTTTTTTTAAATTTCCTTCGCTCATTTGCTTTTGAGCACTTAAAGTTTTAATAGATATTGCTAAAACATCACCAAAAACTGGATTTATTTACACTTCATGCATATGATAACAGAAATTTCTGAGTGTGCTTTCCAACAATGAATTAGTAAAGTGAATCTTAACCAGTCCTCAAGGTGAAAAAGCTTTGTTGTATTATCAATATTTTCAAACATAGACAAATGTAAATGCAAGAGGGCATTGAACCTCCATATACCCATCACTGGATTCAACATTTATCAGGATTTTTGCCACATTTGCTTCATTTGTCCTTTTTTCTCTTTTGCTGAAGTATTTTGAAGGAAATCCTAAACATTGTCATCTCACCCTGACATGCTTCAGTATTTATCTTTAAAAAAATGCAAATATTTACTTCCTTTTAAAAAATTTTTAGGTCTTTAGTACAGAAAATTTCACACATACATAAAAGCAGTGCACATAATAAACCCAACTACTATGATTTTTTATTAGGGGAAAAACTCCTTCAGTGACATTTTAAATTTAAAGACCAATTAAAACTACATTCTTTTGACTCGGTGCCTTAAAAATCTGAAGGGAGTACTTTATTGTCTTTGATATTGGCCCACGTTCTATTTAATGTGCATAACATAGTGAATCCCCCTGTATCCATCTCCCAGTTTCAACAATTAACAACTCATAGTTGGTCTTGGTATACTCCTACCTATTTCAGTTTAGCCCACCAGATTATTTTGAATCAAGTTCCATACATTAAAGCATTTCATTTGTAAGTATTTATATAGCCATATCTAAAAGATAAGGCTTCATTTTTCAGTGATAACTGCAGTGCTGCTACCAGCATACCTATACAAAATAATATCATAAAATACCTGTGAATGTTCTTACATAACCACAATGCCATTATCACACCTAATGAAATTGTTTAATAAACTATCACCCAGTTCATAATTAGATTTCCCTGGTTGTCTAAAAAAAATACCTTTTTAAAGTTGGTTTGTTACAATCCGTTCACACATTGTATTTATTGGGTCTCTCAAGCTTTTTTAAACCTAGAGTGGTCCTTCTACCTCCTTTTTCCTTTTGCCACTGACAGGTTGCAGAAATTGAGTCGGTTGTCCTGTGTAATGGTCTGCATTCATGATTTATCTGTTTGCTTTTTTGTGGTGTTTTTAACTTCTTCCTTTAGCACCTATACTTCTTATAAATGGAAGTCAGCTCTTGAGACTTGGTGTCGAATTCAGCATGTTTGGTAAGAACACTTCCTAAATGGTGCTGTGTGCTTCACAAACATCACAGTGTCTGATTTTTTTTACTTCGCGTTATACTAAGATTGATAAGGATGTGACCGTCTGATCTCAAGTGGAAAATTTCCCCATAAGCCTTTCTCTAAATCCATCACAAAATGGTCAATTCTAGTTACTCATTTTTTATTTTATTTTTTATTATTTTATTTTATTTTTTAAAAGATTTTATTTATTCATTGGAGACACAGAGATACAGAGAGAGAGAGAGAGAAAGCATGAGCAGGGAGAGAGGCAGAGGGAGAGGGAGAAGCAGGCTCCTCGCTGAGCCAGGAGCTCGATGTGGGGCTCCATCCCAGGACCCTGGGATCATGACCTGAGCTGAAGGCAGACGCTTAACCATCTGAGCCACCCAGGTGCCCCTATTTTATTATTTTTTAAATTCTGATGGGCTCTCTGGCACTTTAGGGGATTCCTTGTTATATTTGGAAGCTTTTCCTTCCTTCCTTCCTTCCTTCCTTCCTTCCTTCCTTCCTTCCTTCCTTCCTTCCTTCCTTCCTTCCTTCCTTCCCTCCCTCCCTCCCTCCCTCCCTCCCTCCCTCCCTCCTTCCTTCCTTCCTTCCTTCCTTCCTTCCAAAAAATTTTATTTATTTATTTGACAGAGAGAGAGAGCACAAGCAGGGGGAGTGGCAGAGGGAGAGGGAGAAGCAGGCTCCCCGCTGAGCTAGGAGCCCAATGAGGGACTTGATCCCAGGACCCTGGGATCATGACCTGAGCAGAAGGCAGACACTTAATCAACTGAGCCACCCAGGCGCCCCTCATTTTTTATTTTAATAAAATTCATTGCTTTGGTTATTAGTCAACTCGAGCATCTTTTCGTGTTTATTGGCCATTCAGTAATTTTTTTTGTGACTTGTTCATGACCTTGGCTGATTTTTCTATTGAATTGGTTTTTTTTCTTTTTCTTTTTCTTATCCATTTTCAAGTGTTCATTATCAAAGATATTAATCTTTTATCTGTTTTACCTCTTGTAAATGTTTTTTTCAATTTGTAATTGTCTTCTGTATAGAAGCTTGATTTATGTAGTCAATTTTTATCTTACAGTTATGGCTTTGGTTTAAAGTTTTACTTAGTTACACTTTCTACACTTTGAAGTAATGGTGGGGGAATAGTTTATTTTTTCCTGGTACCTTTTTTCACTTTTGATTTGTATGGAATATATTTTGTATATGGTGTAAGATGAAAATAAAATTTACTTTCTGCATAAAAATAATCAGTTGTTCTAAAGCAATTTATTGAAAGTCTTCTTCCTTCCACATTGAATTGATATGCCATATTTATACTATTTTCACAAATTTATGTAGTCTCTTTCTAGAGTCTGTTGTGGTCCACTGAAGATATTGTATTACCACAGATTTTTAATTATAATAGCTTTGTACTACATTTTAAGGTCTAAGTCACTGTCAGTAATCATTTTTTTCCCCCGAGCTTTTTTTTTTTTTTTTTAAAGATTTTATTTATTTATTTGAAACAGAGAGAATGAGAGAGAGAGACCACATGAGAGGGGGGAGGGTCAGAGGCAGAAGCAGGCTCCCTGCCCAGCAGGGAGCCTGATGCGGGACTCGATCCAGGGACTCCAGGATCATGACCTGAGCCGAAGGCAGTCGCTTAACCAACTGAGCCACCCAGGCGCCCTTTCCCCCGAGTTTTACTGATTTTTTTTTTTCACACATATGCTCTTCTATTGGAACTTCAGAATTAGTTTGTGATTAGTCTTATTGTGATTTAACTAACGGCATTAAGCTTGGTGGAACTGACTTTTAAAAAAATAAAACTGGTTTTTCCATTTGAGAATGTAGTTTTTCTCTATTCAGATCTTTTATGTTTTTTAGGTAAGATAGTTCCTGCACTCTTCCTAATAAGTTTGTTTCTGGGCATTTTATGTTTAGTGTGGTTATTTTGTATTGCCACGAAATATCTTACTTGTGATTATTTGGATTGTGAATACAGGATAGTTTGCTTCATTTTTGTTCAGGTATACCAATCATACTTTAAAATAAGTATAAACAAGATTAAAAGAAATGTATATACTTATGTGTACTATTTAAAAATTTTTCAAATAAGCTTTAAGTATTTCTGTCACTTACATATTCATTAATACAATAAATTAGAAATAGTTAAGGAATAGAAAATGTGAATTCTTAGGAAATAATCATTTTCTACTAAATGGTTTATAAAGGGTAGAAGTAATAAAGTAATATGTGAAAGTAATAAATTGCAGTTAAAAAATATTAAATCCTGTAATGAGATTTTCTTTTTGTATTCTAGTTGGCACCTAACTAGTATGGTCTTTTCTTAGGAGGAAATCCTCCTCAGGCACATATTTTATTTAAGGACTGATTAAAACTATAGTCTTTTAACTTGGTACCTTAAGATCGTAGAGGAGGAATAAATCAGCTTTGATATTGTCCTGCATTCTGTTTATGGATATTGTATATAGAGGTAATATGTTCCTGGCAGATTAGACATCACTGTTAATTTTTTTCTTTTTCATATTACAGGTTTTGCAAAAGACATCAAATTAAATCAAGTTCAAATATTCCCTGTGTCCCCAAAGACTTACTGATGATGTCTGAATTTGTTCTTCCAAGATTTATTTTTTGTCTTATTCAGTACTTAAGAGAAGGCTATAATGAACCAGGTATGTTTAATCTACTTTTTGTTAGTACTCTTTTTAAGTTCCCTATTAACACGGTTTAGCATTAATAACAAGGTGAATTTTTTCAGATACCATTTTTTTGCTTAACTTGTTTTATGATATGACTATGAAATACAGAGACTAAATAAAAACATACTTTAGTATACATCAATTACATGACCTGATAGGTACCTTGTAGTAGCACAGTTTGGGACTTTCTGCTCCTGGGATCATAGATGCTTAGGATCAAACTTACTTGGCCTTTAGCAGATGAGGAAATAATCATTTTATGGGGTTAAAGTGACTTTATTTACAATTATATTATGATAGAACAGAATTAAGAAGTCCTGGAAATGTGTGAATTTAACTTAGAGTTTTAGAAGCTAAACTACTCTTTCACCATCTCTCTCTCCTTTTTTTTTTTTTTTGTAGATGTCTCTATATTTTTATTCCTCTCCGTATATAGCAACGTATGAGAGAGTCAAATTATTCACTCCCATATTACAGGTAGAATGTATGGGGGTAAGCATCATGATATTATTGAAAAGAAAAAAGAAACATGCAAATTATAGATAATCTTCTTGCCTTTTAAGATTTAGTCACCATCTTGATTAATATACTTCAGTTAAATATTTTGGATTTAGATATTATCTGTTAAAGTTGTCAGTCTGACATTGTGAATTACAGATACCAATTAGTGTGGTATGAAACAAATTTATTAACTTTTTCTGATCTTTTACCTTTTTGATGATACTTGTATTTTTATCATTTAAAGGACTGCATCTTGAATTACTTTTAGAGGTTTTAAATTATTTATTTACTATAAATAATCTTAAATCCAGTTTGAAACTATGGCACACATTTTTATCTATCCCCCCATCATTGAAGTGTGAAGAAACATATAGCATCTTCATCATTTTTTTTTTTTTAATATTTTATTTATTTATTTGACAGAGAGAGACACAGTGACAGAGGGAACACAAGCAGGGGGAAGTGGGAGAGGGATAAGCAGGCTTCCCACATAGCGGGGAGCCCAGTGTGGGGCTCAATCCCAGGACCCTGGGATTATGACCTGAGGCGAAGGCAGATACTTAATGACTGAGCCACCCAGGCGCCCCGAATCTTCATCATTTTTAAAAGTACCATGTTATTCTCTGAAGGGAGGGAAATCGGAGGGGGAGACAAACCATGAGAGACGATGGACTCTGAGAAACAAACAGGGTTCTAGAGGGGAGGGGGGAGGGAGGATGGGTTAGCCTGATGATGGGTATTAAGGAGGGCACGTATTGAATGGAGCACTGGGTGTTACACGCAAACAATGAATCATGGAACACTACATCAAAAGCTAATGATGTAATGTATGGTGATTAACATAACAATAAAAAAGTAAAAAAAAATAAAAGTACCATCTTATTCTCATTGTGAGCAAACACTTATACTTCTTATTTCTACATTTTAAGCAAAATATACAATTCTTTGTTAACAACTTCCACTCCTCTCAAGTATGTCTTAAAATACAGGAAGAAATATTTTGATTCAGCCCCAAACTACTCTCTCTTTGGAATGAAGGAACTAGAGACCAGCTAGGTTATTGAACTTGCCTTTGTGCTATTTCTCATATACTAGTTAACAGAGTTTTTGGAAATTTACATTTTGTATTATAAGTGTCCTATTTTAGAAAGGTAATAAATAGAAATCCTTTATTATGAGAACCATTATTATTATTTTTTTTAAAGATTTTATTTATTTATTTGACAGAGAGAGACACAGTGAGAGAGGAAACACAAGCAGGGGGCGTGGGAGAGGGAGAAACAGGCTTCCTGCCAAGCAGGGAGCCTGATGCGGGGCTCGATCCCAGGACCCTGGGATCATGGCTGGAGCCGAAGGCAGATGCCCAATGACTGAGCCACCCAGGCACCCCTAAACAGAGTTCTTATATTAATTTTCTGATTATAAAATACTCTTATCCAAGCTGCTATAACTTTAAAAGAATAAAATATTGTTATTTTTTAGCAAAATATTTTAAAGTAAGTTAATTATATGTTTTTTCAGCAGCTGATGTACCATCAGAAAAAGACCTTAACAAAGTCCTTCAGCTTTTGGAACCTCAAATTTCCTTTTTAGAAGATCTAACTAAAATGGGAGGAGCAATGCGGTCTGTTCTTACTCAGGTTTTGACAAACCAACAAAACTACAAAGATCTGACTTCTGGTAAGTAAAACATTAGCATAGAAGAAAGTTAAAATTTGCTTATGTCACTGTAATCATAAGAAATTGTGTATTTTCAAACTTAAATGTAAAATGTAGATTTTTTTTTCCATAAAATGCTAAAGGTGGAAGTTATTAAAAGTACTTCTTATTTTATGGATGAAGAAACTGAGTCCCAGAAAAATTAAATGACCAGTTTAGTGCCTCACAACTAACTTATTTAGGAGTTAGCACTAGAATCCAGGTCTCCTTTAAGTTTTGGTGTGACATATTCATAATCTTACTCCACCTCCCCTTCCCCAAACAGTAACAAAACTACTTCTGTGTCTTCGTTTTTGGTGTTCTATACTTTTGGATTGTATGGCATAGGATTTTATAATAATGTAGAATTTATGTTACAAAACTTGGAATTGTTGAGTATGTTTGTATATGATATACTGTTATATAAAATACTTCAGTTTAAAATTCTTCAGGTTAGCTCAGTTTTATAGTACAACAAATACTTTAAATAGCATTATTTCTGCTGGCTTCTGAACAATACATTTTGAAAAGTTTATGTTTTCTTTAGAATGGTGAAATTTTCATGTGTATTGTGAACCATATGTTATTCAGAGATAGTCTTATCTGACATTTATTTTTTTTCAGCAAATACTTATTAAGCACTTACTATGTGCTTGGTTTTGGGCTAGGTACTAGAGTTTGGGGTAGGGAATGCAAGTAGTAAACCAGGTAATCCTATCCCTGCCCTTATAAAGCTTAAGGTCTAGTGAGTGAGATGGCATTAATACAACTCCCAAACCAAAAAAATTGTATGATTTATAAACTTGTAGTAAATGATATGAAAGGGTAGGGCAAGTGTTTATAAGAGGGAGACTTGATTTCACTGATGGGGAAGATGGGGAAGCTTCACTGAAGAAGTGATACTGAAAGTAAAACCTAATGGTTGAGAGAAAGTCATTTAGCTAGAGGGTGAGGGGGATTGGGTGGTAATGGGATGGGGTTGTATTCAAGGTAGAGGACATCTTCTGCTTTTGATTTCTGGGCTAGCCCGTATGTCATAAATAACATAAAACTGGAAAAAATGTGAGGCAGCTGTTATCAGGCACTGGACAGAGGGCAGTACAAGACTATAAATCTTTGAGAGAAAAGAAAAGCATGAGATGAACCCCACGATTGCTCCGAATCTCTGTCTAGGGATAACTTCCTGACTGCAGCACGACAAGCTGGTATTGAAGCAGTGTGGTGGCCCACCTGAGGTAAGGAGGTAGAGGTCACAGTTAGGGACAGCTGAAACAGTTGGAAACTGGAATCTTTGAGGTAGGATACCAAGAGGTTTGGGGGCAGATGTATGGGGGGACCTCTGAAAGTGCTTGGCCGAGGACTGAGATACACATGTACAGAAGACTGCCTCAGGCTTATTAGAGAGTGACTGCTGTGGGTTTAAAAGCAGAATAGAGATATAAGAGGTTAAGCAGTTTTCAGAGATGTTGGAGTTTCAGCCCAGCCAGACTGGAGAGAACTTGTTAATACCACAGGCATCTAGTTGAGACAGAGTTTAGAGATTATTCCTGTCAATTTAGAGGGCCTTTTGAGAACCTTAGGCTTTCTACAGACCTGCCCTTATTTTTTATTTTCATTTTTTTTTTTTTATTTTTAGAAAGGGCGACAGAGAGACAGAGTAAGGCAGGGGGGAAGGGCAGAGAGAGAGAGAGAGAGAGAGAGAGAGATAGAATCCCAAGCAGACTCCATGCCTAGTACAAAGCCCGACATGGGGCTCAATCCCACAATCCTGAGATCATGACCTGAGCTAAAATCAAGAGCTGGATGCCTAACCAACTGAGCCACCCAGGTGCCCCTACAGACCTGCCCTTTACAAACCTTTACCAAACCTTTGTGAGTTTTTAGGTGATCAGGCTGTTAATTGATGAATGGTCTTCTAGAATTAAAATTAATAATCTTCAAAGGAAGATAATAGAATCCAGAATCTTCTATAATGTGTCATTAGAATGTCCAGCATACAATAAAAACTAAACATGCAGGAAAATAAGAAATTATGCCCTATAACCAAGAAATAGGGCTGTCAATATAAATTGACCTTGAAATGGACCAGATATTGGATTTAGCAGATAAAGATACTAAAGCAACTATTATAGGGGCATCTGGGTGCTCAGTTGGTAAAACATCCGACTCTTGATTTTGGCTCAGTTCACAATCTCAGGGTTGTGAGATTGATCCTTGTGTTGGTTGGGCTCCGTGCTGGGCATGAGCCTGCTTAAGATTCTTTCTCCCTCTCCCTCTGTCCATTCCCCACTCTCTTAAAAAAAAAAAACACAAAAAAAACAACTATTATAAATATGTTCAAGAAATTAAAGGAAGATCTGTTCAAATACTTAAAAGGAAATATGATGTTAATGAGTGAAGAGATAAATAATCTTAGCAAAGAAATATAAACAATAAAAGAAAATCTAGAACTGAAAATTAGCATTGAGTGCAGTAATTAAAGTGAAAAAATTTACTGGATGGGCTTAGCAGCAGACTGGAAAGGGTAGAAGAAAGACTTAATGAATTTGAAGACAGATTAATAGGTTATTCAATCTGGGGGCACCTGGGTGGATCAGTCGGTTAAGCGTCTGCCTTTGGCTCAGGTCATGATCGATTCTGGGTTCGAGCCCCGCATTGGGCTCCCTGTTCAGCGGGGAGTCTGCTTCTCCCTCTGGCCCTCACCCGCTCATGCTCTCTCTCTCAAATAAATAAGTAAAATCATTAAAAAAAAATTGATTATTCATTCTAGAAAACAGAGAGAAAATGCAACAGAGCCTTAGGGACCTGTTAGACAGAATCAGATGCTCTAACGTGCCTGTAATTGGAATCCCAGGAGGACAAAAGAGTATGAATGTGGCAGAAAAGAAACATTTGAAAAAATCATGACTAAAATTTCATCCAAATTGGATGAAAAACATTGACTTATAGATGCAAGATGCTTAATGAACCTCAAGCAGGATAAATATAAAGAATATCAGTCACACCTAGACACCTCCTAGATTCCATGTTGAAATACTTATGGGTGAGAATGAGCTTACTTTTTTAAAAAGGGACTAAAAAAAGGTGTAGTGTTGAAATGAAATGAATGTAGGGTGATAGTGGCACAAATAAGGTTACCACAATTAGCCTAGATCCATGGCTCTCATGGGCCATGTGATATTTTATATCTTATCCTGAATGTATTGGGAAGTCATGGAAATATTTTAAGAGTGACATGATCAGATATGTGTTTTAAAAAGATGACTTGCTATTTTGCCAAAAATAGATTGGAAGGGGCAAGAATAGAAAAACTCAACTGCAGCCTAGGATAAAGATGATGGTAGCTTGTATTTGAATTTTGGAGACAAAGCTGGAGAAAGATCAAATTATACCTGGTGGTCTGTTTGCTATTTCTTCAAGCCTTATTTAGAATCTCAGCTGTTGTGGAAGAAAGCAGCAAGTTGTTCTTAATCATTGTAAGAATGTATACCTTAGGAATGATTTATGATAATTGTCTTATTTCTACAATTCCTTTTTAATTATTTCTTGAAATAAAAAAACAACTCAACAGAAATCCTTGGCTGACTTTTAGTGATGGAAATCACGTTAAATTTTGGTTCAGAAGTTTAAAATTTATAGGCTACTGCACTTGTAGTTACTGCTTGCTTATTCACTGGCTAGCCATGTTTTTAAGCCTCCATTATTTACTTGAGAGAGAGATAGGGAGAGAGAGCATGAACAGGGGAACGGGGAGGGGCAGAGGGAGAGGGAGAAGCAGGCTCCCCGCTGAGCAGGGAGCCCCACACGGGGCTTGATCCCAGGACTGTGGGATCATGACCTGAGCTGAAGGCAGACGCTTAACCGACTGAGTCACCCAGGCGCGCCTCCATTTCTTTACTTTTAAAAATGGTAATTATAGGGGTACCTGGATGGTTCAGTTGGTTAAGTATTCGACTCTTGATTTTGGCTCAGGTTATAATCTCAGGATTGTGAGATTGAGGCTTGTGTTGGGCTCTGTGCTGGATGTGGAGCCTGCTTAAGATTCTTTCTCTCTCCCTCTGCCCCTACCCATCTTCTTAAAAAAATGGTTATTATACATTCATTTTTCTCAGGCTTTTTGTGAGGGTTGATAAAATATATTTTGTTACTTAAAAAGTATTATAAATTTGGGGCGCCTGGGTGGCTCAGTCGTTGAGCGTCTGCCTTCGGCTCAGGTCATGGTCCCAGGGTCCTGGGATCGAGCCCCGCTTGGGGTTCCCTGCTTGGTGTTCCCTCTCTCTCTGTGTCTCTCTCTGTCAAATAAATAAATAAAATCTTAAAAAAAAAAGTATTATAAATTTTATCTGTCATGATTGAGGTAAATACTTGGCTTTTATTATTCAGGAGACATTTAGTCATTTCTTACATAGGATGCTTAGAAGGTCTTTATTCTTTATAAACTAAGTGTATTATTATTATTTTTTTTGAACTAAGTGTAACTTTTTAATATTGGACTTGAAGGATGGATATATTCCTGACTGTTTAATAAGTGCTAGAGTGTTGTTGTTGTTGTTGTTTTTTAATAAACAATGTGAAATATTTATTTATTTATTTGTTTGTTTGTTTGTTTGAGACAGAGAGAATGAGAGACAGAGAGCATGAGAGGGAGGAGGGTCAGAGGGAGAAGCAGACTCCCTGCCAAGCAGGGAGCCCGATGCGGGACTCGATCCCAGGACTCCAGGATCATGACCTGAGCCGAAGGCAGTCGCTTAACCAACTGAGCCACCCAGGCACCCATGTTGTTGTTGTTTTCAAACCAGCCCAGAGAGACAGATATTTAAAAAACAAACTGTTCGGGCGCCTGGGTGGCTCAGATGGTTAAGTGTCTGCCTTCGGCTCAGGTCATGATCCCAGGGTCCTGGGATCGAGTCCCGCATCGGGCTTCCCGCTCCTTGGGAGCCTGCTTCTCCCTCTGCTTCTCTCTCTGTCTCTAATGAATAAAGAAATAAAATCTTAAAAAAAAAAAAAAATAAAGATAAAAATAAAAAACAAACTGTTCTATTGCAATTATTAGGCTAGCAAACAGAGGAAATACAGAAAAGCTCAACAAATATTAAAGAAGTTCACTTATATATTTTTATAACTGGAGAGCTTGGGACCTTAATTTAAGACACATAATTTGCCTAGGAGGTATCAAATGCCATGGTAATTTGGCTTTCAGACAGTAATTTTTTACTTTTAAAGAATTCTCAAAATAAATACTAAAATTTCTTTTACTATCATTCCATTCTCCATAAATACATTAAAAAATAAAACAAAAATTGGCAATAATTAATAAGCTGCTATACTAAAGCGGAAGTTTTAGGATTGTGTAACTCTAGAACCTAAGCTTTTCAATATTTTTTGGAATAAATTAGTTTTTACTGATATTTCTATAGAAATTATACTTTTAATTCTTTAAATATGATGGAAAAAGTTTGATAAAGCAGGAATTAAGAGTAATATCAGTTATAGTATTTGAAAATTCCACTCAGACATTATTTTATCCAGGAAGCCTTTCCTAAGTATTTTGCTTCGGGTAAGTCTAATGGCACAGTATTATGAGATCATAGATTGTCAAACCAAATGGTTTGTCACTTGTCACTTACCATATTATTTACCTTTCTCTACATGAATTTTCAAGTTCCTTAAGGCAGGAAACATACTCTTGTTAATCTTTGCACCTCCTGTGACTGGCATATTTTAGATACTCAGTTACCTAGTAGATTTTATTATTCATTATAAGCATGCTCTGCATTATTGTCTGAAGCTGTTTGATATTCATTCTAGGGTTCTCCTGCCATTAGAATATTCAGCTATTTTATATATGTATATATATTAATTACTGAGATTGCTTTACTTATATTTTGAATGGAATTTTTTTTTCTGATTTTAAATTTGTTTTAAATATTAGGTCTTGGAGAAAATGCTTGTGCAAAGAAAAGTCATGAAAAGTACCTTATAGCTTTGAAGAGCTCTGGACTTACATATCCTGAGGACAAACTTGTGTATGGTATACAGGAGCCATCAGCTGGCACTAGCACTCTGGCAGCTCAAGGTTTGTCTGTTTTAATTGGAACAGTGATAACTTTTCTGTATTAAAACAAAAAGACCCTCAAACTTGACTTATTATTGAAGAAATTTAAATAACGTGTGATTCTTTTTAAGGAAAGTAGTAAAAATGTAGAAGCAAGAAAGAATAGATGGGCCAAAGAAGAGAATGTGTTTTTCTTAAATGGAATTTGATTAGTTTATTAAGGTTCTAGTTCTAACTCATGAAAAACATTGCTATTTAAGAATAGCCCAAAACTTTAGTATCTCAATATTTTAACAAACCATGGTTAAAAACTAAGAAGTAAGAGATCCTTCTAAAACACCATTTGTGATGATTAAATCTGGATTTTCACTAGAGATTTCTTTGGAAGCATAAATCTATTAGACCCGAATTTATTAAAGATAAATGTTGAACTCTGCCAAGATATCTGTTAGAATGAGTTGTCTTAAGGTAATAAAACTTGGCTTTTTGTTTATGTCTCAAAATAATTTTAAAGTAAGTCAATATGTAACAGTTATGAAGGAAACTTTTTTTCCTTTCCAAAGGTTTTGCAGGTGCAACAGGAACATTGGGACAGCTAGATTCCTCAGATGAGGTGAGATTTAAAACTTTTTGAAAATAGAATTTAAAAAGTTTTAGAACTATACAGATTTGTGGATATTATTTTAGTTTAAGTTCCTCATTTTGTAGACAAGGACACTGAAGCCTAGAGTGGAATAACTTAGCCAAGATTTCAGTTACCAGATTTTTGCTTCTTCTTTATAATTCATCTCTTTCTTCACAGTTCAGAAATGGGAGATAGAAAGAGATAGAGATCTTTCCTAGGTAGATATCCCTAAATTGATTCAAATTGTCATAATATAGTGAAATTGTTTTAAGAAATTTAGCTAAGTCTGGAACAATGTATTAAAAGAATATAAAAGGTAACTGCTTTTCTAATCTCATAATAAGTTACACCTTGTATGTTATACCTTATTTAAAAAAGCAATGTACTTGGAAATAGACTGTCGGTTTGAAATTTCAACTTTTATAGTATTTATTAGGCAAATAGTAGTGCTTATTAAATATTTCTGATAAATCCTTTGTAGCATTCCTATATTTTATTAGTATACAATTTATAACAGAGAATTGTTTTACAAATATTTGTATATAATCTTGATGCTTATGAAATGTAAATTTCATATTTTTTGGTCAAATTTAATGATTAAGAAATTAAAAACCAAATTGTGTTACATTTAAACATACTTTTTAAGTATAACTTTTTTCTTTGAAAACCCATTTTAATTCGATAATATCACATGAACTAAGCAAAATACCCTCTTTTTGAAAATATGATTTCTGTTATTGATGTCTTGTAATTGATTTAATGCCTTATAATTTAAACTTCCTAGTGGTATTTTTCCCCTCTAAAAAGGCTCCCACAAAATGCAACATTTTCTGGACAAACAGTTTAAAGAGTTTTCGACAGGGGCACCTGGGTGGCTCAGTTGGTTAAGTGACTGCCTTCGGCTCAGGTCAGGATCCTGGAGTCCCTGGATCGAGTCCCGCATCGGGCTCCCTGCTCGGCAGGGAGTCTGCTTCTCCCTCTGACCCTCCTCCCTCTCATGCTCTCTGTCTCTCATTCTCTCTCTTGCAAATAAATTAAAAAAAAATTAAAAAAAAAAAAAAGTTTTCGACAAATTGGAGAGGAAGTTTCATATGCTGTTTACAAGTTTGACTCTGGAATTAGAGTGCCTGGGTTTGAAACTGGCTCCTGTACCAATTAGTAGTGTGATTTTGGGCAAGTGTCTTAACTTCTCCATGCCTAAATTTCCTCTTCTGCAAAATGGAAGTAATAATAGTATTGCCTGGGGTTATTATGAGGATTGAATGAGTTCATATATGAAAGCACTTAGAGCCGTAGTGCCTGGCCTATTGTAAACACTAAGTATGTGTCTGTAAAATAAAATAAAATCATTTAAAAATTAAATTATTTAAAATAATTTAAAAATACTGTAAATAGTTAACTATAACTTTTGCTTTTTTTAACTTCAAAGAGTTACAAACAATGTTGCTATAATGACAAATGGGAAAAACTTACTGGTATTTAAAATAGACTTTCAAAAAAAATAAAATAGACTTTACAAAATACATATAAACATTATCCATTATTTCAACTAAAATAGTATTAATTCCATTTTGAAGCTAGGAGAGGGGAGTGATGGAGGTAAGAATACCAATTCTTCATATGTCAAAGAAGGAAGAGATTAGATAATAGACATGTGGTTTTATTTTATTTTATTTTTTTAAGATTTATTTATTTATTTTAGAGCACATGCAGGCAAATTAGTGGGGGGTGGGGTGAGGAAGGGCAGAGAATCCTCAAGCAGACTCCCCACTGAGTGTAGACCCTAACATGGGGCTTCATCCCAGGACCCTGAGATCATGACCTGAGCCAAAATCAAGAGTTGCACACTTAACCAGTCAACTGAGCCATCTGGGTGCCCCTAGACATTTTTTTTTTTGTTAAGACTTTATTTATTTATTTTGAGAGAGAGAGAGAGAGAGAGAGAGCGCATGCAGGGGAGGGGCAGAGGAAGAGAGAGAATCTCAAGCAGACTCCACACCAAGCATGGAGCCTGACTCAGGGCTTGAGCTGAAATCAAGAGTCAAATGCTTAACCAGCTGAGTCACCCAGGCATCCCTGGACATGTGGTTTTTAGTAACTTATTCTGCTCTATTCTTTCTTTTTTTTTTTTAAGAGAGAGAGGGACAGAAAGAATGAGTGAGCTGGGGGGACAGGGGCAGAGGGAGAGGGAGAAAGAATCTTACCGAGGTCCCATGCCCAGCGCAGAGCCCAACGCAGGGCTTGATCTCACCACCCTGAGATCATGACCTGAGCTGAAATCAAGAGTGGGTCGCTTAAGTGATTGAGCCACTCACGTGCCCCTATTCTGCTTTCTTTAAGGGCATTTTGTGGGGAGGCAGAATGGCCTTTCAAAAGGTGAGATCTGGGAATACTTAGAAATTGAATATGAGTGGGGAGCATGAGCACGTTTTTGTTTAAAGCCAACCAGACAGGAAGGGAGCCTTGTATCTATTGTCAGTAGTACCTTTAGAAAATTGATTTCATAATGAAATCGTTTAGTGATGTTACAGGACATTTTTTTAAAGATAATCTAAACATCTTGATGTGATCTAGAACAATAAAAATCTATAGTTATGCTTGTTTATATGGTGGGTTAAAACCTTCATATTATTTTAGCGTCCTAGCCTTATGCATCTAATAGCTGTGATAACAATTCTACTTTATTTTCATGAATTGAATCTGATTTCTGGGCATGTAGAAAGCTGATCTTCAACATAGATACTTTCTCCTCTGTCTAGGAAAGAACTAAGTCATTTTTGCCTTGGCCTTAACTTTCCAGCTTACCTTTTAAATTGCCATGGATTTTATGGTAGGGTGCTAGAAGGAAATCCGTTGTTTTTTTTTTTTTAAAGATTTTATTTATTTATTTGACAGAGAGAGAGACAGCGAGAGAGGGAACACAAACAGGGGGAGTGGGAGAGAGAGAAGCAGGCCTCCCGCTAAGCAGGGAGCCCGATGGAGGGCTCGATCCCAGGACTCTGGGATCATGACCTGAGCTGAAGGCAGACGCTTAATGACTGAGCCATCAGGCGCCCCAGGAAATCCTTTTTTTTTAAAAAAAGATTTTATTTATTTATTTATTCATTCATTCATTCATTCATTCAGAGAGTGAACTGGGGGAGGAGACAGAGGAAGTGGGAAAGAGAATCTCAAGCAGACTCCATGCTGAGTGCAGAGCCTGATGTGGGGTTCGATCTCATGACCCTGAGGTCATGACCTGAGTCAAAACTAAGAGTTGGACACTCAAGCACTCCTAGAAGGAAATCCTTTTGTGTGTGTTGGGGAGAGAAGTAATTTCTGGGTGGATATCAGAGGATTTGAAATAAAGCTTTTCTTTGTTCATTGCCATTGCTTCTAAACTGTCCTTCTTAACGTCTTTTCTTCTGTTCTTTCTGTTCATTCCTCTTGGATTCTTTGTTTCAGCAACTTTTGTGTATAATATGTTTTATATAATAATTTGTTCCTTAATTATGATTATGTCTCAATGTGAATATCATCTTAAAAACTTCTTGATGGTGACAAGTTCAAAATAGTTCATTTCATCTATCCTCAAAGTACATCATTTTTTGAGAGTAGCTGAGAATTATTGTTAGAACATGTGATACATATTTAGCTTATATATTTAAAAGTAGTTTAGACTCTGATTTTTAAATCATATTTTGTAATTTAAATTTTAATCTATTTAAAAGTACTTTTTATAGCTTATATATTTATTATAATTTCTAGTTGGGATAAAAATGGGGTCATTTGGGCATTTGAAAACTTAAGAATTTGAAGTAGAGTTGTTTAGCTACAAGTGAATTGAAGGGATATCTATTTTAGTATTTTTTGTTTTAAAGATTTTACTTATGTGAGAGAGAGAGAGCAATAGAGTGTGAGAGAGAGAGATCACGAGTTGGGGGGGCAGAGGAAAAGGGAGAAGCAGGCTCCCTACTGAGCAGGGGGCTCAACATGGGGCTCGACATGGGGCTCAATCCCAGGACACCTGAGCCAAAGGCAGAGGCTTAACCAACTGAGCCACACAGGCACCCCTACTTTAGTTTTTTCTTTAAGAGAAACTTCAGCTTTTTAGAGTTAGGCAGACCTCAGTTTGAATTTTGTCTCATAATACCACTTTTTTTTTTTTGCTGGGTTATTTAACTTTGGAACATCCATTTTCTTTTGAAAAAATAATGAGAAATCTGTTAGGATTAAATGGGATAACATATAAAGTACCTATCACAGATTAGATACAGATTAGACTCTTGATAAATGTTTTTGTCCTAGTACTTTATGTGAGGAGTTTATCAAATATTTGAATTTTTGAGCTATTGTGGGTCATATTATACACATTTCTACTCATCTTTGCAGAGGAAGTAGTTTACTAAAACATGTTTTAAAACAATAAAGTTCATTTTTAAAAATTTAATTGAAATATTACCTAAGTAATGCACAAATACATTGTAGTTGTTTTGCCAGAGAAGTAAGATAAAATAAAAGTCCCCTCTCTGCCCTTCCTAATAGCAGCTCTTCTCTGGGTAACTACAGTTAATAGTTTGGATGTCCTTGACAGACCCTCTTCTATGGAGTTAAATAACTATGTGTTTATAGAAATGTATTGTGTGTGTGTTTGTGAATAAATAAAAAATGTTATGCCATTTTGTGTCCTTTTATTTGCTCCATAATGTACTGTGCAGATTCATCTTTGTCAGTACTCTTTTCTTTCAATTTGCTACATGATATTCTGAAATAATGAATTAAACTATAGTTTATCCAATCATTTCCTTAATTTGCAGTTTTTTATGACAAGATACAGGGCTTACATTTCTTTTTGTGGAGATGTGCAAGTATTTCTCTAAGATGTGGAATTGCTAGGTCACAGTATGCATATCTTAAATTTTAATAGATTGTATTTCTTTCTGATTATAAAATCACACACATATTTAACATGAAAAGTATGGAAAAGTATAAAAATAAGACTATTACCC